GGATTCTGCCCCTCTGCCCCTCAGGGGAGACCCCCCTGCAGAGCTGCTCCAGCCCTGGGAACAGCACAGCAAGGACATGGAGCTGCTGCAGAGAGTCCAGAGGAGGCACCAAGATGGGCAGAGGCTGGAGCAGCTCTGCTGGGAGGAAAGGCTGGGACAGCTGGGATTGCTCAGCCTGGAGAGGAGAAGACTCTGGGGAGACCTGAGAGCCCCTTCAAGTTCCTAAAGGGGCTCCAAGAGAGCTGGAGAGGGACTTGGGACAAGGGCCTGGAGTGCCAGGACAAGGGGGAATGGCTTCAAACTGCCATAGGGCAGGGTTAGATGGGATACTGGGAAGGAATTCTTGGCTGTGAGGGTGGTGATCCCAGTCTTGCCCTGAACAACCCGTCTGGGTGTGCTGTGGGAGCACAGTGGGAATGGGCTGGGCAGTCCCATCTCTCCGCCTGAGGCTGCAGGAACTCCTGGGCCAGGGCCACACTCCAGCGTCTCCTCCTCCTGGTCCTGGGATTCCTCCCTGCCCTCGGTGTGGCTCCTGATTTGCAAACAGCAAAGAGAGGAGGGCATGGAGACCCTCTTGTCCTCTTGCCAACCGAGGTCCAACTGGTTTAGGGTCAGAGGTTGCAGATAAACCTTCCAGAACCCAGAGGAGGTCGGGGTGTGCGTGGGAGCCTCGGGCACAAACACATTACAGAACAGTGGGTGGACCAGGCTGAGCCAGCCTTGCTAATTAAATACTGATTTATGTTTAAGCCAGCGTAGTCTTGCCTGCAGCTCACCACTACATTTGCTTATTAACCTGGATTTGGTGCCAGCTCGGTGTGTGCTCACTCACCTTAGCGCTGGTGTAGGAGGAGGATGAAGCTGCTGGCAGCTGCCCAAAGCAGGATGTGCCTCTCCCACGGTGGAGCTACTTTTTGCAGCTCCGGAGGAGCAGGAAACACGGGCTCAGCTTGGCTGTCAGAGCCACCCCTGGAGTTCAGTCAGGATCTGGGCAGCCCTGGCAGAGCTCGGGCACTGCGACACCCCGGGACTGCTGCGTGAGCCCGGGGCAGGCACGAACAGCTCAGAGGGACCCTTCCACCTCCCCCCCGTGTGGAGATGTCACGGGGCTGCCCTGCGAGGCACGGGGTGCTGCCCAGGCAGGTGCCAGGGCTGTGTGCCAGAGAGCCCCGGCCCGGAGTGCGGGCCCAGGCTGGGCTAGAGCAGGGCAGGAGGGTCCTGCAGCCAGGAGGTGCCACGGCAGGGCTTTGATAGGCACCCCTAACTCCATCCCCTGGTCCCGCTCCTCCTGCCCTGCTCCCCACTGCCCCGCTCCCAGCCCCATTTCCAGCCCCGAGCCCCACTCTCAGACTCCTGCTCTGCTCCGCCTGCTCTTCTCCCCGCCCCCTGTCCTGTTCCCAGCGCCCCATCCCACTCCCAGGCCCCTGCCTCGCTACCCCTCTCCCCTTCCCCTTCCCCTTCCCATTCCCGCAGGTCCCAGCACCGCGTGCCGCCCGGGGGAGGGGTGTGACCCGAACAGACCCCGCCCCAGCAGGCGGGCTCTGAGCAAGCCCCGCCCCAGCCCCCCTCCCGCTGCTGGGACAGGGACAGGGACAGGGACAGGGGCAGTTCCGACCCGATCCCAATCCCGGCCCTGTGCCGGTCCCGCAGCAGCCCCAGGGCCTCCCCGCCCGCCGCCACGTCCCGCACCGCTCCACCAGCGCCGGGCCCGGCCCCGCCATCCCGCCCGGGACACTCCCACTGCCCCTCCTTCCAGACCACGGCACGTACAGCCAGAGATGTCACGTCTTTAATTTAAAAACCCCAAATACATCCACACACAGAGAGCATTTCCCAGTGCTCGGTGTTCCCGGGGAACAGGGGCACCCCCGCTCCGAGCCTCCTACTCAGGAACATCTTTCCCTCTCTTACTCTGACCCAGAAACAAGGAGCACGAGCACCTTTGGAGAAGGGCAGGGATACATTTCCACCCAGGGGCTCCAGCGAGGACTCTCCTTTTCCCTGTGGAGCAGGATGCCTGTACAGACACGGCTTGTCCCGTTTGTCACAGACACCCCGAGCCACAGGCCCCTCCCAGCACACACAGCACCTGACACGGCCAGTATGAACAAAGAACTCTTATTGCTTTGGGAAATGATTTTACCTCCCAGTCTCACCTCCTGCTCCATTTCAGCCCCCTTCCTAATTCCAGAGAAGACTCTGTATGACTGTGCTTCCCACAGGAGGTCCCCACCTCCATCAAGTCCTTGGAGATCTCTGGATGGAAAGGTGTGATCTGGTTCCAGTGCAAAATGCTGTGTGTGAGTTCAAGCTCCGTCAGGACACGGCAGGTCCAGGGAAGTCCCTTGCTTTGGTCTCCCCACCTGTATCCCTCTACAGCCCTGGGACTCCCACAGGAAGGTCGGGGAAGATACCAACCCTAGAACCAGGTCCAGCCACTTGAACAGATGCCTAATATACTCTACAAGCTATTTATTAGATAAAAAGCAACATTAATTTTGCTTTCTGTACACACTCATGCTCAAAGGTGGGAAATACCAGAACTAAGACTGCCTGCTCTGCCAGCCCCCATCCTGGAATAATCAACCCTTAATAATCAATCCAGCCCCCCTCCTGGAATAATGAACCTTCGCAGGCTGGCACCAACCCACTCAAAATGCCCTTTGCACTGGTGCTCTTCCCATCCCAGGTGCCCAACAAACTCTGCTCAACTTTCCCCCCTGCTCCTATAAGGTTTCCTACACACAGGATACAAATGTTAATGCTAATATATAATTTAAGGAGTTACTTTGTTGATTTTTTTTTCCATTCTTGACACACCACCACTCCACAGCAGCACTACTGCCCTACTTGGAATGTTCTCATCACATCTGGAATGTGTCTGGCTCCTGTGCAGGACCCCAAGCGTCAAATCCCTGACAGAAACCCCAAATTCCAGTGCAGGCCCCAGAAAAGCTTCTTTTCCTCCAAATTTGTTTGCTGCCCAACCTCCCCCTGCTGTGTGGACAGGACAGGGACATGGAGGGGACACTGTGGTACCCACAGTGCCAGTCCCAGCCCCCAGGGCCCCTCAGCAGAGCATATGGACACCTGAAGTCTAAGCTTTAAAGACAGGTTTAATCCTGGCATTTCCCAAACTTTGGAGCACTTTGCTCCCTAGGTTTCAGGCAAGGCCATCAGTGCATCCTGTAGCGGGTTTTAGGAATGGGGCCACACCAGAGCCTTGCTCAGGTCTCACTGACACCCATTCCAAGGTCAGAGGGGAGCAGTGCTGTGCCCTGGCTGCCCCCAGCCCCCCACCCTGGAAGAACAGGTCATTCCATGCCTGGCACACATCCATGGCACCCACCAGAGAAACTGGAGCTCAGCTGCAGTAACACCGGTCTCTGCTGCTCATGGGTACAGCCAGCCTCAGCCTGCTCCTCAAGGCCTGACTTTGGAAAGGAGGATCAAGAAAAAACAGGACACTACCACATGGATCTTTTTCTTTGCAATACTGATGTCTACAGTGAAACATTCATAACTGCTCAGCAGAGTCAAAATATGCTACATGAGAACTGTATCAGGAAAAGCAGGGCCCCTGGAGCAGCTGGAGAAGAGTGTGCAGATCCAAGTCAGAATGGAACAGCCAGCTTCAAAATATGCCACTAAAAACAGATGAGAAAATCAACATGGTTGTTCTTTCCTTACAGTTTTGCAGCCACTGCAATTGGTGCAGTTCCCACTCCCATCTTCTGGGTCGTGGTGGTGTCACACGGAGCAGGACGGGCACGGCCCCCCTTGGAGCAGCACAGGGTCCAGTCCCTTGGACAGAGGGAGAGCTGGAGTGTGCCCAGGTGCTCACCTGGGGCAGGTACCTGTCCCTCCTGCCCTCACCACTGCACAGGACACTGGAGCTACACTCAGCACTGTGCACAGCACTGTCCACGGGATCCTCTGCACTGCAGCTCCACAGAAAACAGGGAAAGCCAAGGCGTGTGCCTGCTCTCCTGGAAGCACACACAGTTTGGATGGCACACAAACCACCGATGCAGAGGGGTCCCCAACTAAGAGCATCTCCCTCGAATGAAGGTACAAAGTGCCACTGGTCCTTGGAACTGAATCTAATGTACAGGATATATTACAGCAAACAGCAGCTCCGCAGCTCGTGCTGGCCCTTCTCTGCACTACGTGCAGAAGGACTCCAATATCCACTCCTTACAATAGACTCCTTCCCTTTTTATACAAAGGAAAATAAAAACATAACTTAAAACAGCAATAAATAAAACTATGGAGTGTGTGCATCCTGCTCAGCCTCCTTTGTGCATCCCAATCAGACTGGAGAGCTTCTCACAGTGCTCAAGTTTCAGGGATTCTGCTTTCTGTTTTAACCTCTCATCTCTGTAGAGCTTGGCCAAATTGGACAAGTCAGACTCTGAAAGATGAAAAAAAAAAAAAACAAACGTATTAGGATGAAGCCGTGAGCCTCCTTTTAAGAACTGTTTCTCAGTGCTTTGTTGCCCTTGTGGCACTTGTTAATTCTAATTTTGCTGGGTATTGAATCCAAGGAGGTGAAGAGTTACCCGAGGGACTTGTCTGAAAGGCCTCTGTGCCCTTTCATTAACCATCTCAAATGTTCTTTGCATATTTGTTCCCCTTCTTCTCAAAAGCAACATTAAACTGAAATAATCCCATTGTTTAAATTATTTCCCCCCAGTAATTCAGAGAAGTTTCTTTTGCTGATTAGCTAAGGAAGTCTTAATATAGCTTTCTCCCTGAAGAATAATTTAGCTGCAGGATTAGATGCACTGAGGAGAACAGCAGTAATTTACTTCTGAAAAGGTCAACCCTTCCGTAAGCACAGGCTACCTGATGACACTCAATTTTTCAAAGAGCTTTTATACACCTCACAAGCCCCTCATTTCACAAAATTATTCAGAGTGGAAAGAACTTCAATAGGTCCTTTCATGCCTTACGCCCTGTGTCCCTGTGCCACTGAAATTTAAAGCCATTTAACCCTCCACCCACTTACTGAAAAGCTTCACAAACTGTCAGGCATGAACAGTTCATTTCAGAGCAGGAACCCATTGACAGGTTTATAACCCAAACGCCACTCAGGCAGTGCTGGGCACACAGCCTTGACACGCCTCCAGCAAAACCAGTAAATGTCTCTGAGTCCAGAGTCCCTGGAATTGTGCAGTGGAGAATCTCAATTTCCACTTATCCAATTGGGAAAAATTGTTCTCTGCACTTTTGACAGGGTTTATTCCATCACATCTTCTCCTTGTGGGTTTCAATCTTCTAGAGTTGTTCCTTTGAACTTTTCTCTTTAAGGACATTCCAGAATACTGAATTTTGGCTACGTTTAGACTGGATATTGGGAAGAAATTCTTGGCTGTGAGGGTGGGCAGGCCCTGGCACAGGTTGCCCAGAGAAGCTGTGGCTGCCCCTGGATCCCTGGAAGTGTTCCAGGCCAGGTTGGATGGGGCTTGGAGCCACCTGGGCTATTGGAAGGTGTCCCTGCCCATGGCAGGGGGTGGAACTGGATAAACTTTAAGGTCCCTTCCAAGCCAAACCATCCCATGATTCCATGACACATATCCTGATTCTCTCTGTGTTCAGTTGCCTCTTTGTGACCTGGAGCTCTTTGGAGCCTCACTTTACAACTGTGCTATCCCAGCTGAAACATTCCTGTAAAAACCTAGGATGTGCTTTTTGTACTTAACTGTGCCAGAGGTTTCAGAAGACCCAAACCCAGAGCACACACAACTTTCACACTGCTCTGCTGAGAAGGAGAGTCCTGTTTAGTGCAGCACTATAAAAGCAACTGGTTGAACAAAATACCAACCTGTTACTTTTAAAGTTTTCTTTCAGGTTGATGAACACCAAGTAGCACTTTCCAAGTCATAAAATCAAGGACTTTAAAACCAAACTGTTCCTGAGTAACTTATCTGTGTCCATTTTGCTGGTGCTAAGGAGAAATGCACCCTCAGTAAACACAACAAATGTACTGTTAATAGACATTCAACTGACAAAAAGCTGATCACACCAAGTCAAACACTTCAACAAGGATTAAGAGGCCAATGCTGCAGAGCAACAGCTGACTACGAACAGCCTCAACATCTCCAGAGCTTTTCCCCAGCACTCTGCACTCTATTCACAGTTTATTTTTACAAAGCGAGTCCAACCTCAGCTGTGCCCCTTACCTACTCACTGCTCTGGATGGAGTCACTCTGAAAATGCTTAGTTTTAATTACAGTGGTGTCCTCAGGCTCCTGCTAATCGTGGACACTGTAAATGTATTTGCAGACGGGTGACTAATACAATCTCTAAGTGTACAGGGCTTTGGAGGAGCAGGGCTTGGCAGGCACTTGGCATTCCCTGCTGGATCATCTCCCCCTCTCTGACAACTGGTCCCTCTTACGACTCCCAAACCTTGTCCTTATTTTGGGGCTTGGCTCTCCTTAGCTCCAGGTCTACATGAGAGAGACAACTTTCAGTTGCACAACATCAATTAAAAGGATTTGTGTCCAAGAAAAGCTCTCTCCCTATAGCAAGCCTACATTTATGGGTATTAACAGAAAATTAAACTTAGAGGCTGCTCCTGCCAGCCACAAATGCTCAAAGGCCACAAGTTGAGCACACAAAAAACTTCAGGATTTTTGTGGTCTTGTATTATGGGTTCTTTTCCTTTTTAACTTCAGAGCCTATGTCTGTTTATTTCTCTTCAAAGCAGCATTGGTAACTTCTAAGTTTTAAACCAAAATAAGTCTTCCCATGAGAAACCTGTTAAGAGTCTGGAGTCAGCAACACTACTGCTACCTCTCCTGTAGGGTTAAACAAGTCTTGTTTAGACAAACTGTGTTTCCATGATGCAGCAACTGGTAAAGAAACTGAAAACAAGTGCAAAGGCACCTTTCAGCAGTGTGCTGAGGACTGTTTTACATAGAGTAATTTAGAAAGCCCCATCAGTGTGTGAAAGCAGTTTGCTATTGAACATTGTCACAGACACAACTTGTTCCAGTTTCCTTTACACACAGCAGCACTTTGTGTTTACTCGTGTAAAGCTGATGAGGTTTTTAGCTGAAAAAAAATCTGTCACAACATTCCAACATCAGCTACTCCTTGTAATTTTATTTTTGTTGTTTCCCAAAGAAGCAGGTATTTGCTCTGTTTTCAGTGAACCAGATTAGCAGTAATTAATAGTTAAGTAATGCAATATGGGGGTAAAATGCCTTAAAATATAGGGTTCACGTGCCTTTATTCACATCACTGAGTGACTCATGGCTGATTGAGAATAACGATTTCAAATGCTCACATCTGTGTTCTCCCTTCCTGCACTCAATTCTTGTTTTTAAAAGACTTGACTGTGGTGAAAAACATGATCTCAAACTCATCTAAAGATAGAAAATGCAAATAACACACAAACTGAGCACGGAAGCACAGCTCTGGAAACTGATACCAGGAACAGAGCCCACTCAAGCGAGCCAAGAGCACCCGGACAGGCTACAGGCTCCGCTGGGGAAGCTTTAAGGAAAGAGCCAGAGAAACTTCTCCTGGAGCCAGTCTGCTCCAGCAAAGGAAACATGGAATAGGTGATGTCTCAAGATCTTTTCTGGCCTAACAATCTGTCAGGGCTAGATAAATGTGGTGGGTTCAGTGTTGAAAACATCATCACTAAAGGTTATTCGAGCATAAAAACTGAGCGGAAAAAAAAAAGGTCTCAAATGGTGACATCTACTTTCCACTCATCTCTCAACATCACTTAGAATGTATTTTGACAGATCTCAAGAAAAGCAAATTCAGTGTTAAGAGCAGATGTGAGACATCTCAAAGCAGTGCAAGGTTGAGATGTTGTGAGCTTTGGAAACTCAGGCTAAAACCAGCAGTGCTTTGTGAGGCGCAGCCACCGCCCAGCCCCTGGCGGGTTCCCAGGCACACACCTGGGACAGAAACAACTTACTTTGCTGTTTCTCCTTCCAGCAGCTGGTCTGAATATAGTCTATGTAATCCTTTTCAACTGTCTTCTCGAGCTCTTGGAGTTCTGCTCCTTGATAATTCTTCTCAAAGTTTCTATCGACATAGTAAGGCACCTGCAAGTTCTCTGTTTCTCTGATAATGACGTGGCCGATGGACCTGCAGACACACAGAGAAACCAGATGTTTGAGCAGATCAATCCTCAAGAAATCAAGAGCTGTTTCCCCACACTGGCATTTCCAGAGGACAGTATTCAGAGCCATGTTTTTACAGTTCATTTCTGCAGGATTATGGCTCCCTCAACCATCCAGTAAGGAAATTACAAGTCTCGGGCACAGCAAGCTGTGCATTACAAACAGAATCCACCCCCCTGCTAAAACCACAGGAAAATATCTAATGTTTGGAAATACCTACAAAGAACTGACACTCTTCCTTTTGAATACTGTGTTTGTTCCCAACAGCTCGCCCCAGACACTTCCAAAATGTCAGAGCAAATTTTAACTGTGAACTCTCCACACACTTCCTTCTGTTTGCTGGGGATTCCTGGCAAGCTCAGTCCAGAAATCCATGGGGATTGATAACAAAGGTAGAGATTATAAAGACTTGGGGCACAATGCAATTGGCTCTGGATTTTCCTATTTTCTGGATCCTTTAGTAGAACTAAAAATTAGCAGGGGAGATTCTAATTATACTTTTCTCCAGGGTTTTATAATCATCAGTAAGCAAAGTGGGGAAGAATTAGCCCCCCTGACACAGCCACTGGATCAAACTCCACTCTTAGACTGAATTTCCTTATTTGAGCACAGATACCCAGGCATTTGCTCAAACCACTGCCCACAGACAGAGGCAGGCAGCCAAAACACAAAGGTTACACTCTACTCAATGGAATCCTGTTTGCCCCTTCTTTCTGGACTCCTCTCTTCCTTCTCTCTCACTATCTCAGAGGTGTCCACTCTCTTTAAAGAAACAATTTCTTCCAGTTTTTAAGCTGTTTTTTAAGGCTATGATTTAGAGAAATGACCTAACTGTGTGCCAGGCTCAGGCCTGCCTATCTCACATCAGCAGGAGAAGGGGAGGCAGTGAAGAAAAGCAGGAGAGATCAGCTGCTGTGGGGGCAGCGTGGGAGGTTCCACATGGGACTGCCAGATAGCAAAAACACTCCCTGGAAAAAAAACCACCCGAAAAACAACCACCCTCTTGCTTTACTGTGAGGGCCTCACACTGACATCTTGTGGCAAAACGATGAGGGGTGCTGGGCTACTCTGACAGCGGAGGGAGGAGACAGACCTAGACCTCAGTTCTACTCCTAGAAGGGAGCAAGGGGTGTGTTTGGAGCTCTCTGCTGGTTCCCCAAAACCTGCCAATCCTACTTCTGGCTCGGTAAGAGCCAGTGAAGGTGAGCTCTTTTCCATGAGAGAGATTCCTTCCTCCCAGCACTGTATTTCCTCTGCCTCACAAACTCAATGACAGCAGCTCTGGTGGTGTGGTCCTTCTGCTTGTGGAGCTGACCAGCTCCCCAGGGTCCTGCTCCTCTACAGAAATTAAACCAGGGCATTTCAAGGCTTTAATGATTTGTGGAGCTTCCAGTGGAATTCATGCTCCAGAGCAGACTTGGATTCATACTGCAAACCACGGGCTTCACTATTTAACTGCTTTCCAGAGGAACCTCAGTGGTGGTCCACAGATTGCGGGGGCTGGGGAGACCAAAGGCTGATCTGTATCACAGTGCAAAGCCACTTCACACCAGCTGAGGAAGGTTTCTGGCCTGGTGCCTCTCTTTGTTCAGCAACAAAGCTCACCACAGCTAACTCCACAGCTCGGGGAAACTCGTCAGGGCAGACTGTTGGTATCTCCCTATTTACAAATGGATAACACTTACTAGAAAGAGCAGAACATTAACATGAATTTTGCTATCAAATCCAACTTCCTTCTGCCTCCATACTGCAAATAGCAAGAGTAGAAAAATGTGTTTTTAAAGCACTTACGACTTGTAGAATAAGCTGTAGGGAGGGTTGGTGGCCATCAGCTGGGTTATCACTGACACTACTATGATGATGAAAACTGGCATCAACTGGATAAATGCAGAATAAGAATTCTGAAAAGAACAACAAGAATTAGTAGTCAAGGAAAGACAGAGATGGAAAAAGAGACATCTGTTCACAGAAACCAGGCAATCTATCACAGATCAACAACGTAAACTGAAAGAAAGAGGAAGTATTTTGGGATTTTGAGAGGGATGACATTGTAGTTTCAAAATAACCTTTATTAATAATCTCAGAAATCTCTTGAAAACCATTTTCTTTCAATTATCTTTTCCTCCACAAGGCCATAGACACCCACAGCACTGTCAGTGCCCAGCTGACAATCCAACCTGCAGGAACACACTGCAATTCCCATGTTCTACAGCTTCCCAGGCACTCTGAACTTTGCTACACCCATTCTAAAGATCTCAACCTCTGCTCAAGCACTGGATTTAATGGCTGAGCAGTAAAGGGTGGAGAGACCACATGTGCTGTAACTTGGGACAGGATGCAGACACAACAAGAGTGAAAAAGTATCAAAGGGAAAACACAGATCTTTCTTCCTGCTTTCTGATTTCCTTCTAAACTGGTCTCTAAAATGCTAGGAGGAAGAAAATACACCAGGCAGCTATTCAGGCTTTGCCCTCTGCCCTCAGACAGCAACGAGGATTCCTGATGCAGGTGGAATTCAATTGCCCTGTGTCTGCTGTCAGCTGTATCCGTTTCTTTTTTTCCAGAGGCTGACTAAGAGACTCACAAGGGAAAACTCATCTTCCTTGGAGAATGATCCCAAGGTTAGCAGACTGTCTCCAGAGGGAGATTCTGCCAGGGCAGGTGGCACACGTGTATGTGCACTGGCAACAAAAGACACCCTGTCTCATCTGGAGGTCTCAATTGGTAGAAATGTATCCCAGAGCCATCCTGCCCGGGCTGGAAGAGGCCTGTGCAGCACCTGGCTGCTCATCTACTGAAGGCTTAAATACACCTTGAGGACAAACAGCAAAAGCCAGTGCTTCCATACCCATTACCATTGAAAAAAGCAGCAGCAGCAAAGGCCTGGATGGCAGAAACTGGAAGGCCTGTAATCCTATAAATAGAAAGTATTTTTAAAGTAGTGATTAATAAAAGCCAATCTAGTCACATAAAAAACATCCCCTGTGGGTGCAGCGCTTGAGAATAAACAGTGAGAACTCAAGCATGGGAAGGTTTGTCCTTGGCTTCAGGTCTCCCTCAGTCTGGTGAGATACTTTAGCCCAGGAGATGCCTCCTCCTGGCTACCTGTGGCCTGTTGTCTTCCTCCTCCTGCTCCTGTGTCCACGCCCTCTCGGTGCGGTGCCTCCGTGGGTAATAGTGTGCATCCCTGGCTACATTGGAGAACATATGGATATTTCCTGGAAAAGAAAAGTCCTGGGTCATGGCACTCACCTGCACTCCTCAGTGCCTGTTTAGTTATCCAGGTGGATACCACACAGCCTGATTACATCTGTGAGACCTCACGCTAGAAAGCATAGCCAACCTCCGATTTAAATGACAAAACATGTCATTCCAAAAAGCCTACCAGAGAAATTGTAAAGTGTGCCCCAAGCCCATCTTAATTTAAATCAAACTGCAGAGACATGTTCAGATTTTTATGATTGTATCTCATATTTTAATGCTGGTTTTGTCACATTCACTTGCAGGGCTGTGGCAGGAAAATGAATTTGCTTCTCCAGGCTCAGGCCATGAATTACAGCCTCCCATAATTACTGAATGGGGTCTTCTACTCATTTCTATTTCCTCTGCCTTCAAGCCATTAATGGCTTCGCCTAATTATTTTATCATAAGGAAAGAGATTTTAAAAAAATAGCTTTTCGAGTAAAAAACGGAGAACAATTCAGGATTTCCTTTCTTGCTCATAGAATGCAGTTGATTTATTTTTAAAAATTCTAAAATGAGGAAAGAATTGCATGTGCTGCTTCGATTTGAAGCTCCAACTCTGATTGTATCACCATATGAATATCTTAATAATAGCTTTGCTCTCCTCCTTTGAAATTCAGCATGTCTTTGTGTTAGAGAATTGGAAATCTGTGGCTTATCATCACAACAGAAATGCAAATCTATTTTTAAGCCCTGGGAAAGATGTCACATGATTTTACACTCTTCCACTGTCCTTTTCTGAGTTTCCCAAAGAAGTCTGCAAGAAACCTGGGTGAAGGTGACCTTTGCTGTTGTGTTAAACCTCTGTTCCACTGCTTGTTCAAGGATTTTTCCACGGCACGTGTGCCCTCAGAGCTCCAACAGTGATCCAAGCCAGGCTGTCTCCAAGGAGGAAAGTTTCTTTTTGGAAAAAAGACAGTATTTTACCAAGCTATGACAAAAGAAGCAAGTTTTGGAATAGAAGAATGGCTTTTACAGGGTGTCTAGAAAAGAGTTATCCCGAATTCCAAGTTTCTCCAAGAATTTCTGCCAGGAGTTTCTTTCCCTCCGTGTGCATTTATTTCTTATGAGAAGGACACTGAACTTGTAGCCTCTCTCCCTTAGAACTGTGCCATGTGGAATCTCCTTGGAGTTTTATCACAGTTACCATTTTAACTTTAAATATTTCCCCCCTGAATATCCACAGAGGAAAACTGCCCAGTAAAAATAAAGCCATAAACCTGCCCACCAATGCCATACAACACCAACACCTCTAATTTGGATTTCCAGAGAGCCTGGTGACAGCAAGGTGTCAAAAAACAAACACCAGCACGAACTTCAGCTCAGGCAAGTCCTACTTAGTGCTACAACAGTTTAAGAAATGTTCTCTTTATACCAACTACCTCTTACAAGCAATTCTCTTGCTAAGTAGAAACTGTGAGGACTTTCCCTATTTGGAAAATTGCTAAACTGGTAATTTTCCATAACTTAAAACTTACTTTTACATTAGGAAAATGTACAAAAATTGAGATCACACACTTTTTTGGTGAGGAAACCATTGTTTACTACCAACATCAGCTACTATGAAATACCTGTTTCTTTCCTTATTCTTTGCCATTTGGCTCAAAATTCCCACTTTCTCCTCCGTGCCACTCTCCCTGACAAACCTGCCCTGCCCAGTGCCCAAATTCCTCCTGCAGCTCCTCAGTTTCCTGTCCTCAATTCCAAGTAACCCTGTCCCCCACGCTATCAAGCAGTCCCATTCCACAAGGGCAATGTTCCACAAAAGGCACACACAGGTGCAACTCCTCGCACAGCCAGGAATGGAAAACTTGCAGACTCTGGATGGAATTACACCGTGCTGGGTTTGGCTCACTTTGCACATTTACTGATGCAAATTTGGGAACAATCTGAGGTCCCCTTGGCTGCAAGATGCACCACTCACACCAAGGTTATGGGGAGCTGGTAAGTAACTACCTGTATCTGTAGCTTCAGGCTGTGGTAAGTGGTGTGTATGTCACTTTATGTGACACCTGGGAGGGGAAAAGTTTACGGGAATGCTAAAGCAATTCCTTAAATCCTGGTAGGAACACCCCTGAGCTCACCACACCTTTCAGAGTTACTTTTAATCCACAGATCTTGTGGTATCTTTCTCTTTTTCCTACAAATACAAAAGCCAAGGCTGGACTGAGACGTGCCTGGAGCTACTGCAGGTGCAGCTCCACTGCTGTGTAACTGGATCCTGCATATCCACGGACAGTCTCTCCTGGCAGGGAGCACTTGCTGAGCTCCCAGGCTTGAATTTCATTCCAGTACACAGGAATGTGCCTGAAAGGCACAGGAGCTTCCCTGCTTATAGGGGCACTGAGAACACAACTGCAGCAGCTGTGCCACGCTGGCCTGAAATGCTGGAAGTGCCTAAAGTACAATCCAATCATGGAATGGTTAAGGTTGGAAAAGACCTCTGAGGCGACTGAGTCCAGCCAGCACCTCAGACACCTCTGATCCCTTCCCACTCACACCTTATTTCACCTCTCATGCTACTGCTGGCTTCAGATGATGGAGGGAATAAAAGAAAAGCAGAAAACAATTTCAGAAAGGTTTCTTCTCTTTTCAGATGTATAATCAACTCCATGAACAGTACCAAGGGAAGCTGAACTTCCTGTATGGTTTACAGAATCCCAGAATATGCTGAGTTGGAAGGGACCCACAAGGATCATCCAGTCCAACCCCTGGCCCTGCACAGGCCCAGCCCCAAGAGTCACCCCCTGTGCCCCAGAGGATCATCCAAAGCCTCCTGGAGCTCTGGCAGCCTTGGGGCTGTGCCCACTGCCCTGGGGAGCCTGTTCAGTGCCAACCACCCTCTGGGGGAAGAACCTTTTGCTGAGATCCACCCTGAGCCTGCCCTGACACAGCTCCAGCCATTCCCTCGGGTTTACTGTCAGCACACTGCACTTCCAAACCACTGACCTGTAGGAAAATGCCCACCAAAAAACACATTGAATATTTCTTCTGGTGTAATGTCTGCTTCAAACTCTGTGTAGTAATTATAGTGCCTGGCCTGGTCGGTGCTGACATGCTCTTGGTCGCTCCCCAGCTCATCGTACCGCAGCCTCTTCTCAGGATTGCTCAGAACTGCAAAAGCATTGCCTATTGCTGTGGAGGGAATCGAAACAAGGGTTACATCTCCAGAGCTCGGACTTGTATAAGCAGTGCAGCAAAAAAAAAATAACAAACCCAAACAAGCATCAAGTCACGCTTGACCAAAGATTGAGTTACTTTCAAAGGAACTGCCTTTGTAAAAGAAGTGTTACAGCACTGGAATTACCTGTGATGGAAACTACTTCCTGCTGCCACTGATGCCAAGAGAAGTGCTGAAGTATATGGAGAGAGCTGAAATATTCACAAAACTGAGCTCAGTCTCCACTTCAGCCAAGAAACTGGGGGAGAATGTAACATTTTCTCAGCTCAAACCAAGCCCTGCTATAGAAGTGCAAATCCATATACCACACAAAGTCAATAACTGGAGAGACTCATTAAAATGCAGAGCGATATCCCAAGTTTTTCCTGCTGGCAGAGGTGCTCCTGAAGCTGTGCATCTACTTCACACTTCACACCCAACCACCCAGAAGTATTTGTTTGGTTCATCTTCCTCTTTGATCTCTGACAGAACAAGTTCATTGTGGACTACAACCCAAACACAAACAAACAAAGAAAAGCCCTTCAGAAGCTCCTTAACAGGCTATGAATGAATTGCTTGCTTTCCTCGTGCTGTGCTGCAACACAGCACGGAAAGGGCAAAGGATGTAAGAGTTGAGAAGGCAACAGTGTCAGCACAGGACTGCAATTTTTCTGAGAAGTCCAGACACAGCATATGGGATTAAATTTTATATGCCTGCATAGATATAGATATAAATTTATTGACAAGGAGCAGTTTTTGATTACACAACACCCCATTCTGCTGCATGGCCAGTGTCAGCTCCAAGCCTTGTTTTGAATCTGTCACGGAATTGCAGAATGGTTTCGGTTGGAAGGGACCTGAAAGCTCATCTCCTTCCATCCCCTGCAGGGACACCTTCAACCAGCTCAGGGTGCTCCAAGCCCCATCCAACCTGGCCTTGGACACTTCCAGGGATCCAGGGGCAGCCACAGCTTCTCTGGGCAACCTGTGCCAGGGCCTGCCCACCCTCACAGACAAGAATTTCTTCCCAATACCCCATCGAACCCGGCTCTCTGTCAGTGTGAACCCATTCCCCCCTGGCCTGTCATCTCGTGCCACTGAAGTTCTCGGAATGAGACCTGGGCTACATTTCCCTTGGTTTCCGATGGAAATGCTGTATTTTGCAGAGGAAAATGCAAACCCTGCCGAGCCGCAAGGGGTTCTGTGTGTCCGGTGGTGTCTCCGTGGCACCCGCGGCCTCTGCGGGTGCGGCCGCTCGGCCCTCACGGAGCCCCCCGGGCCCCTCACGGAGCCCCCCGGGCCCCTCACGGAGCCCGCTCACCTTTGAAGGCCTCGGTGGCCCCGGGCGCTCGGTTCTTGTCGGGGTGGAACTTGAGGGCGAGCCTGCGGTACGCGCGCTTCAGCTCCTCCTCGCCGGCGTCCCGGCCCACGCCCAGGATCTCGTAGTAGTCCCGGCACCGCTTGATCCTGGCGGCCGACACACGGTTATCCCGGGGCCCGCTCCCCCAGCCCGCCCCCCCCACCGCCGACCCCCGGCCCCACTCCCCCCGACCCCCGGCCCCGCTCACCGCCGCACCCCGTCCAGCTGCTCGGCCGTGTAGGTCATCCTGCCCGCCCCCCTCACCGCCCGCCGCCCCGCGCCGCCATCTTGTGCGCGGGGGCTGCCGGGAGCGGCCCCGCCGGGGATGGCGGTGTGGCGTCATGGCGGGGCGGTGACGTCAGAGCGGCTCTGAGGGGAGCGGGCGTGACGTCAGAGCGGCCCCGGGTCGGGGGGCCCCGTGTGGGACAGAGCATGGAGTGTGCTGGGCAGGGACAGCGCTGTGAGCGCTGGGGATGCCATGGCATCATAGAACCATGGAATCACGGAATCAGCCCGGTTGGAAAGGACCTCTGGGATCAACGAGTCCAACCCTTGATCCAACCCCGCCATGGTTCCCAGCCCATGGCACTGATACCACATCCAGTCTGTCCTTAAACACCTCCAGGGACGGAGAATCCATCACATCCCTGGGCAGCCCATTCCAATGGCTGAGCACTCTCTCTGGAAAAACTTTATTCCTCATATCCAACCCAAACCTCCCCTGGCACAGCTTCAGACCGAGCCCTCTTGTCCTACTGCTGGTTCCTGGGAGAAGAGACCAATCCCCACCTGGCTCCCCCCTCCTGTCAGGGAGTTGCAGAGAGTGCTGAGGTCTCCCCTGAGCCTCCTCTTCTCCAGGCTGAGCCCCCCCAGCTCCCTCAGCCTCTCCTCACAGCACTTGTGCTCCAGTCCCATGGGATCACAGAATGTTCTGAGTTGGAAGGGACTGACAAGGATCATCCAGTCTAACGCCTGGCCCTGCACAGGACCATCCCAAACAATCCCACCCTCTCCTGCAGAGCATTGTCCCAATGCTTCTGGAGCTCTGGCAGCCTTAGGGCTGTGCCCACTGCCCTGGGGAGCCTGTTCAGTGCCAACCACCCTCTGGGGGAAGAACCTTTTGCTGAGCTCCACCCTGAGCCTGCCCTGACACAGCTCCAGCCATTCCCTGGGGGCTGTCCCTGCTCCCCCCAGAGCAGAGCTCAGTCCTGCCCCTCCTCTGCCCCTGCCCAGGCAGTTGGA